CCCCCCCCCCCCCCCCGTCAACCATTTTTGTTCTATCTCACTTCCTTGATAGCCCTATAATTCTATGATGTCTACATTGCAAAATAATTTCTCTCAAATTCTGTCAGTCACAACACCCGATTCTGCGATTCTCCTCCTCCATATCTTGTAATGTGATCAGATTTCTCAAACCTGGCATACCTGTATTGATTCTCTCTGTGACTGTAGTTTTAAAAAAATAACAATTAAAAAAAAAATAATGTTAAAAATGTCTGTAATTTAGTGTTATCAAGTGCAATTTTTTCCAAAAATGTTCTGCTTTTAATGAGACGTCACATTACTTAAACCCCCACCCTCCCCTGATCACACATCACAAAAGTGTGTGGTCTCCTCCCCCCCCCCCTTTTTTTTTTTAAAAAGAGGCATGACGTCATTTATCGATGGATCCTCACCTTTCTATGTTTTGTCTAATAGTAAGAAAGACTTATAAGGAAGGGTTGAGCCAGTTGAGGGGATAATAAGTTTTAATATAACTAAGTTATATGACAATATATAACTGTAAGCTATATGACAAGTTATCATTTATGAATGATCTAACTTCAATTTTCCCAGCTCAGAACAAATACACTTAATTCTTAAGAGTTTCAGATCATGAGGCAGCTAATAATAAAAACACAAAACATTAATATAGTAAAACAGGTCTAGCTTGTCCACAATCCCAGCCTTCAAGATAATTTAAGTGGCATGATTGATTATAATTTTGAAAACATTCGTTGAAAATGTATCTTTTTCATACAGATTTAAAAAAATTGTGTGGCTGTACAACTTAACTTTTCCAAACTCACCACATTAGCTGCACCTGACCTGTGCCAACTCTCACTCTGGGTATATTTGAGAATTCCACTAATCCAACCATACTGATGTCAATATTTCACAGTTACAGCGTCTTTTAAATTCTTTCCTAAAGCTAATCCCAAAGTCAAGGAGAGGAATGCAAAGAAAGAATATGACTGAGATAAAGCCATGATGCTCCAAACTACATGGATAGCTCTTGTTTTGGGCTTCTGGTCATCTCTTTACTTGATTGACGTTTTTCTCAAGGTAAAGTTCAACTTTGGATCAGCACTTCTTGTACCACAGCAGTGTACTAAGAATGTCAGTGGTATGATTGCATCAGGGTATATTAGTGACAGCATGTATTGTAGGCTGTTTACAAGAGCAGAGTACCCAGAAATAAGACCATGACGGTAGTAATGGTAGAAATTCATTAAAAGAATTGATTCAGTTTAAATTTTTTAATGTCTTGTCATTTAATCATGCTAACAAAGACCTATCAAGTATCAATCTGGATGACTGAAAAAATTGTTACTATCTTGGCATTCTGAAAAGTTGATAACAGCGACCAGTCATAACCCAAAAGTTATTTTCATACCGTCAATAGTTTTAGTTTTAGGGACAGAAGAGGCTGTAGTCTGCATTGACTATTTCTTTGGTTGAAGTGAAAGTGAAGTTAAGAAAAAGGTTTAATTCACCACACACAACTCAAATGATATACATTCTTTCTAAATAATTCCTGTTAATTTACATAAAAGTTTGTAAATTTAGAGTACCAGGTAATTAGATTAAGAATTCATTATTTATTTGTATTTAAGTTTACCAAATGTAAATGAACATGTTTTAATGCCCTTTTATTACTGTCAAAACTTGAGGTCTGTAAGCTTAGGAAGTGTATTTGATTAGTAGTACCCTTTGGTCTATAAATTCAAATTAAATACAATTTCTACAATAAATCTGCTTTATCAGAATGAGTCTATGCTGTGCAGTTCTATTTTGGGTTCATTGATTTTTGCTGCTGTAAATGTAGATTAAATTAAATGTTTGATTTAAACTTAAACATTTGTATTGATTTTTTAAATTGATTTTAAACTTATTTTTACCCTTTATTTTCCTCACAGAGTAAAAAGGCAATAGCTCGACCATATCTGAGTTTCCTGGATAAGACTGGACTTACCATTTCTATCTGCCAACTAAGATGGTACACAACAATATTTAATCGTATATTTCTCAGGATTGGTCAGTGGCGTCCTCATTTTCTTCGAACATGGTTTACTCTTGGTGTTTTCTTTTCTCTTCTGTCAATGGTGGGTTCAATATTCCTCTTGTCGCTTTTGGTTGTCAACACGTTACGACAGAGTCCAGTGGAGCATCAGATCCTTACACCAGTGGTAAGCTAATAATTATTATTTTTTTAAAACCACTATAGGTATGAACCTTCGTTTTTTTATGGCATTTTGGTTGCCTCTAAATGCGTATATTAAAAATGTGATAGGTTAATTTGTAAAATACAATTTAAAATTAATTGTGATCAATATGGCTCCAGTTTATAACGGATGGTTAGCATCATTCCTCTGTTATACATTTATAGATGCCAGGTGTGAATCTACCAACTAGCCAGATTTCCTATTACATGCTTACCCTACTAGTGTGTGGCATTCTTCATGAAGTGGGGCATGCACTGGCTGCTGTCAGGTAGGTCATTATCACGTGACATTTTCTTAATTACTTGGACTTAAGCATTATTGTTCATTGCAGGTCAAAACTCTGTATGTTGTTTTAAGCTGACATTCACTCCACTTGATTTAGAAGATCACAGTCAGTTTCTTTCATTATCAACATCAGTCTCTAGCTTTGCCTAACACACTCAACTAAATCAGTCTCTAGCTTTGACTAATACACTTAAGTAAATTAAATATAAATTCAATATATATTTACATACTTCGATCCCTACCATTTGTTTCTAAAGGAACTCACCTTCTTTCTCCCCATCCTCTCACCCCCATTTTTGTAAATCCAGAGAGCAGGTTCGAGTCAATGGCTTTGGATTGTTTCTTCTTCTCCTGTATCCTGGTGCATTTGTGGACTTGTCCACTGAAAACCTGCAGGCCGTGTCTCCCCTGCGTCAGCTGAGAATTTATTGCGCAGGTGTCTGGCACAACCTTGTTATTGCTGTATTTGCCGGTGTGGTGCTCATGGCTCTGCCGGGGATGTTGGTGCCGTTCTACACCTTAGGAGCCTCGGTCGTCGTCACTGAAGTTGTTCCTGTAGGTGATTTTCTTTTAGCTCAAGCTGTCATTGTTAATGTAGGGATTTATCCAGTTCAATTAAATTGTTGTAGTTAAATACATTAAGTGTAAAAACCAATGGAGTTCATTTTCCGCATCAAGGCAAAGTCTTTAGTCAGGGGACTAGGGACCAATCTGGAAAACGATGATTTGATCATGTTTTATCTGAATAAAGCTGACTTGTAAATAAACCCACAAAGCTCAAGGCACAGAACAAGCCACATATGCTTCTCATTTAGTGACCATTGCTGGAGAATAAACTTTACAGAAATTTGATACATCTTAAGCTCTTCTGTGTGGATTTTAGGCATACTTCAGAACAGATTTCCATCACAAGAAAGAGATGGGGGGGGGGATTGGAAGAGAGACTTAACAAATATTCATTAAAACTCTGATGAAGACTTTCAAGGTTCTCCATGGCAGATTTGCTTTGTTTACAAAATGTTTTGATTTTTCATGGATCATAATATTGTAGAGCTGCCCTATAACAAGGTTATCGGTACTAAATATTTTTAAAAACCAAATGTGTTTTGACAGAGAGACGCACCTCTGCACTTCATTTCAGTTTTGGGAGCGG